TTTCACTAGAGCCTCCTTGACCTCACCAGTAGTTCTTGCTGAGCTCTCAGCTCCCTCTTTGTCGCCAGTCAGGCAAGTGAAAGGAGCGACACTTCCTTCCCCTTCCTCCTGACCCTTTCACTGTTGGGACGCGCCGGTTAGCGTTCCCGTTGTCGCGTTCCGCACCGCGCCACGTAGTTTCTCGAGGCTAGGACACTTGGCCACTGTGTGGTCCACTTCGCTGCAGAGGAAACACTCCATTATTCGGCGTTCCCGTTGGTAATTCCCTTGAGGCCTCGGCCTGTTGCATTCCATAGAGTAGTGACCCAGTTCGTTGCATCTGTTGCAACGGTCTTGTCCTCTTGGGCAAGTTTCGCGGCTGCACCCGATACGACCGCAGCGACCACAGACCACTTCACCCTCGGTGGTACGCGTGTCAGGTCCGAGCCGAATACGTAGAGGTCCAAGTGCCGAACCCGTGGCGTTCCTGTTTGCAGTTGGAACGCCGTCACGCGAAGAAGTCGGAGGAGCCACAGCGCTGACTTGCCCCCTCGGCGTTCCTGGCCCTAGCTGTTGCGTTCTACATCAGCTGATTCATCTGGCGTAGCTCCTGAAGCACTTGAGTCTCCGTCGAATCCGCTCCATTCGCCCTTGGTTGTCCCGTTACTTCGCCGGCGAACTCGTCTTCTTCCTCGACTGGGAGATGCAGGTTCTTGTACAGCAGTAGCGCACATGCCTCGGGAATCGACGTGACCATGCTCGTGTTCAATACCGCCTTCATCTGCTTAATTCGCAGGCCATCCAAGAAGAACTCGTACCTCATACGAGGTTCGTGGTAGTTCAAGGCTTCACACATAGTAAAAATCCGGTCGCCCCACTCCTCGACAGACTCGCCACGCTTCCTCTTGGCAGCCTTGAGTCGGCTCCACAGCTGTGCCGGAGCCTGGCAGATAAATCGGTTACCGTCAGAGCCTCAAAGCTATCGATCCTGGAGTCGTACCACCACTCTTGACCAATCTTGCCGTTAAGGCACTGCTCGAACGCCGTCAACCTCATCTGGCCGTCCATACCATGCGTGCACTTCTCGAAGAAACGCCAAAACGCTGCCGCCCTTTTGCTCGTAGCGGTGTCGGAGTAGAATGGAACGATCACCTTCACGGCGTTCCGCAACTCAGTTTGGATGCCCACTATCGGCTCGTTCCGTCTTGGTTGCGTTCCGATTCGTTGTGCAGCATAATCATCACCATGGGCGTGCGTCTGATTCGCCACGGGTCCTTGAGAGTACGCCGAGTGCGTCTGGTAGCCCCCTCCTTGACCATTGAAGCTCCTACCAAGCCCAAGGCCTCCCACGCTTGCAGGCGCACACCATGGCGTTACACCACAAGGGTGCCTCGTCGTTCCTCTCGCCGCACCGGCTGGCATTACTGTCGGTACATCGCCTTGCGTCTCGCTCACAGGAGGTAGCGACGGCCTCGACGCATCGAAGGAGAACGCGTCTCCTTGCCGAGCTCTCGGGGTCGACATCGCGGCGTGCGCGGTCTCACCAGCCGTCGTCCTAGCCAGAATCGGCTCTTCGCTCGGCGCTGGTTGTCGTGCCAGCCGCGCGAGGAACTGGTTGAACTTCTCTCGGCCCCGGGGCGTGTCCAACACCGACTCGGCCATCCTTCTCGCTCTTGGAGACAGAGGTTCAGCCCCGAGCGTCCCCTCTCCGTCCCTTCGAGCCTTGCGACCCTCGACTCTGGGTTCCGTTCTCCTCGGCGTTCCTCGTTCCAAACCCTCGTTCGAACCGCCCCCAGTCGGAGTCCTTCCACGCGCGTCACCCTCGACGGACCCTCCTGCGTGCTCTTCATCTTCATCTACGCGGATCTCTGCAGGAGGTGGCGTTTCCGTCTCAAGCGGGGGAGCCCATCCACCGAGCCCCTCACCCGCTTCCTCACCTAGTCCCTCTCCGGACCACCCATGAGAGCTCATGTCTCGC